CCATCTGTTATTGATCAAATGACTTTATTTGAATTTTTGACTTGGTTGGATTTCGATCGATCTTCTTCTATGAACGCAGCAGAAATGTTAGAAGAACCATATGTTGAAAATTCTCTTTGGCGTACTGATTTTAATCAACCACCTCTACTTAAAACATCCGCTTTACTTCCTCGAATAGTTTTATCATGTGGTACAATATTAATTCAACGCAAAGAACCTTCTTCTATTAGTTTTACTTGTCGTTATGATGATTCCATGTTAGCTATTTATTCGATTCTTTCGATCGGAATACCATATCGAGATGCATTTGAAGAATTTCTCGATAATAAACAAGGTATACGTCTTATAAATTTGGTTTATAAATATATCGGAACATTATCTATTGCTATTGTAGAGAATGATATAAAAGCCTTACACCAAATTTTATTGAAAAATTAACATAAATTAATCGAACGGTTTTCGACATTACCTGGTGCTTACAAAGTACAAATGCTTAATGCACTTGAACATTTATGTGACTTAAATGCTCATGATTTTATTATCAAACCTAGAACATCATTTATATTTACAGCAGAAGATGAAGAAGATATTGAAGATAATATAAATGAAACTAGTAATGAAATCAATAATAATAATACTATTAATTGTAAAATCGATTTAAATCAAAATGCTTTAAATGAAAATATTAATGACGAAAATGATATGCAAATTAACTGTCCTTTTACACGAACCCAAGAGTTATTAGCATCAGCTAATACACAACAACGATTTTTGGTCAATTTTTTCAAGCAATATCTTCAAGCAGTTATGCGCTATGAAGAAAGTCGACGACGCTTCAAGCATGCGTTCAAATCACTTCCTTTTCATATAGTGGTGAATGGTCTAGCTGGTTCCGGAAAATCTTATGTCATTTCCATTATTGAACAAATGTTAACCGATTTTTGTATCAGTGAATCTGCTATTCGAAATCGCCCACGTGCAAGAAAAAGATTACTAAAAATGGCACATACTGGAAAAGCTGCTCTAAATATTTTTGGTTGGACTATTCATACTGCATTAGGAATGGTAAGATTTAATTTTC